GTTGAATTTTCTTCATTTTATAATTTTTTTTAACCTCTTCTTGTATTTTTTTTTCTTAAAAGATGCATATTAAACAAAGAGGTGTTTGTTTTGTCTTTTGGATGACTCTGCTTTAAATTACTTTCTTTGAAGGATACTGATGTTATTAGGTTGTCACTAAGTGAGTATCACTAAGTGACTAACTATGACCAGATACTGTGGGCTTATCAGTTTTTATCCTTTTTCATTTCTAGTACATTTTGATGTTTTTATTTTTAATTGATAATGGTAGAAGGAAGAAAAATAGCTTTAATTATTGAATAAACATTCCCTTTAAAGAAGACAAGTCATTGGTGGATGATAAAGAGGAAGGAGCTGGGCTTTAGAGTCAGACGTTGAATTCCCAGCTCTCCTGCTGGCCAGCTGTGTTACCTGGGGGACATGACTTACTACCAACCAGTATGTTTCCTGACATGTAAAGGAGAGTCGTAGGACATCCTTCAAGGGTGGTTGTGCCTAAGAAAGACCACACGTAGACTATTCAGGTTAGTGCCAGGCACATGCTAACTGCAGCCGTGAATATTTTTATTGTCATTTTTGTTCATATTACTGTTTTCAGCCTGCAAACAGCTTCTCCTTACCCGATCTCTAGCTGATTTTAAAGTATTATATTTCAGACAAGGGAAGAAATGGGGAACTTTTATTTAAATCTTTACCTACTTCAGATAAATGACCTCAGCATCCTTTCTTGTACATCAGAGAACTTTAAATTAGCAACTTCTACTATGTGCTACCCAAGTAGGACAGGAGGCTTCTTTTTTGTCCCTTCATTTTGGCCTTGGAGGTAATTTGCAAAGATGAGCACTCGGGCATGTAAATGGTCAGTTCTCCAGGGGTGGGCAGGATATTAAGTTGGTAAAATAGATCAAATTAACTGTTTAAGTTAAGCTGACTAAGTTCCTAAGGGTGAAGTTGTCTCTTTTATTTTAGATCAGCACTCATGCTTGCTGTATATCTTGACTCACCGGACATAGTCAAGCTGCTTCTTGAGAAACGTGTTAATGCCGATTCTCGAGATTTACAGGGATGGTCTCCTGAAGTATATGCTCGTTATAAAGGTTTTAAACAGTAAGTGTTTCCATTAAAATGCCAATTATCTCTAAACTAAGGCTGGAAATGACCTAACTGTTATGTGACAGGTGAGAGTTCCTAGTTGGGAGCAGGCACTTTGGGGCTGGCAGTGAGACCCTCCACACCATCAGCTGGAAACCAGCAAAAGGCCAGACTAGTGAGATGGAGCAGTGGGCACAGGGCTCTTTATCTCAGGGTTTGTAAGACCTTTATCCTTAGGGTCCTGCTGTTCTCCATTTCATCCCAGTGTAACCCCTATGCATGGGGTCCAAATGTCACATATCTGATTTTTCTAACTAGTTATTTGGGTTTTGAAATGTTTAGTAGAGCAGAAAATCCTGTATTTTCCTTTAGGGACTTTCTTCTATAATCTTCCTCTTGAATTTTCCAGGAACCTAAGGGATTCCCTAAGATCACAGTGACAGTCCTCTCCTACAAGGCATTGGGGCAGGGCGAGGGCATGCTAATCGTTCTCTTGTTTCCCTTGATTCTGTTGCTGCAGTGTTGGTACTAAAACTAGTTTTAACAGGATCTCCTTGGCAGCTGAGTCTGGGGTCTGGATGTTGCTCTCTAAAGACCTGTAATAAAATTTTAAAAGAAGAAAAGGAAAAAGAAACTGGTCCTGCAGTCGGGTCATGACTGACCTCTGCTCCTGGGATGCCTGTGCTGATCCAGTTTCCGCGGTCTTCGTGGTGATCGACACGTAAACTTCAGTGTGACAGCTTGTTTAGTTCTCATACATATGCTTGTATGAGGTCATGTATTTATAAATAAATGTAGCTACAAGTTATGTAATAGCTGAGGTGCCCTGAATTATAAACCACCAAGAACAGCTAATTACCGTAATTTGTAACACTTTCTGAAAACTGTCACTTTTAAATGTTACACCTAGGAAAGAAAACACACATTGGGTTTTATTTGGGATTCTTAAATAGTTCCAGCATTTAAGTTCAAGAACACATTATTCCATTCTTCCACTACTTCTCCGAGCATCTGGGAGATACCTTATCTCATTAAATTTTCATAATACTCCTATGAGTATTACTAACTAGCTGCCTAACAAGACAGTAAGATCCCAGTTTTATAAAGGAAGACTTTGA